TTAAAATGTGCTAATTATAGTATTTTAAATAGAAAATTAACACTATTTTCTATCATACCCAGATTAACATGCATAATATTTAATACTGTTTGTTTATTTTGGAACATGTTTCTGTTTTTTTGCAAGGAATAATTGTACATTTGCTTTCCATTCTAAGTCTTCTATTTTCTACTGTACCATTACCTTTGTGCACCTAATGTTATTATTGGATGACTATATTTCTATAAGAAACTTAAAATTTTGGACATGATTGATTGCTTTTAAAGAAGGATAACAGTAGAATCATTGTCTTTTTGACTAGCTCAGGGCTAGTACCGTGTTTGAGTTAGTTTTGTACTTTGCACAGTGCTTGCCATTTTTCTTAGTTCAGTGGTTCTTAACCAGGGGCAGTTGTGGCCCCAGGGGACATTGGTAATGTCTAGAGACATTTTTGATTGTCATGCAACTAGACTGAACACTCTTAGCGTCTAGTGGATAGAGGCCAGGAACGCTGCTGAATATCCCATGGTATATTGAACAACCCCTGTGTCAAAGAATTATCTGACTCCAAATGTCAATAGAGCCAGACTGAGAAAACTTCATGTATGGCAACTGCACAATAAAGTAGACTGAATTAAAAACTATGTCCATTCTATAAAGCATAAAGCTTTATATATTATTTTATATGTGCATTCACATGCCATTGTAGTGATTCACAAGGGAAAATTTAGCTCTTTTCTTCATTACGTTTGAAGTATTAAAACAAAATTTTGGCAATTATAATTGATTTTAGCTTAGTTGTACCAAGTTGAAATAATATAATGGCAATCAATGTTAATCAGCAATAATATTCAGTGTTCTTAATTTGGACTTCCTTTCTCTGTCAAGGTTTTAAATTTCTTGGAATCAATATTGTATATTATTCCTACAAATTTTCACTTGGATCTGACATAATCAATTCTCTGGAAAAAATTAATTTTCCAGATGTCTAAGTCAGTAACTGGGCTTCCCTGGTGGCTCAGCGGTACAGACTCTGCCTGCCAATGCATGAGACGGGGGTTTGATCCCTGAGCTGGGAAGATTCCCTGGAGGAGGAAATGGCAACTCACTCCAGTATTCTTGCCTGGGAAATCGCATGGACTGAGGAGCCTGGCAAAGTACAGTCCGTGGGGTTTGCAAAAGAGTTAGACACTACTTAGTGACTAAACAGCAACACAAGTCAGTAATTCATTTGGATAATCCCTAGTCTATATTCTACATAATGTCGTCTTTAGAGTTTAAGTCTGAGATACTGAACAGAATTTGCTGAACCCAAAAGCTAGCAGAATAAGCCTCCAACAAAGTTAGTCATACAACAGAGTTACAATGGGTCCCACAATTCCAGTAAAGTAGAAGCTATTAATAAAGTATGATAGAGTTTGCTAATATATGCATCATTTCTAATCTAATTTAAATTACTATCTTTTGCTTCTGTTGATATGATTTAATTTGGACAAAACTGTTTTTAAAAGGAGATACATTCTTTATAGTTTTTAAAAAAGAGATTAAATTTTTTTTAAAAAACCTTTTTATTTTTTTGAAATATAGTCAGTTAACAAACAATGTTGTGATAATTTCAGGTGAACATCAAAGGGACTCAGGCATACCTATGTATGTATCTATTTTACCCCTAACTCCCCTCCCATCCAGGTTGCCACATAACATTGAACAGAGTTCCATGTGCTGTACCCACATGTTGGTTATCCATTTTAAATGGAGGAGTGTGTACATATCCATCCCAAACTCCCTGACTATTCCTTCCCCACTTCCTTCCACCCAGAAACCATGGTTTTTGTCTACGTCTGTGAGTCTCTGAAAAGGAGGTAGATTCCTAACAGTTTTTTTGGAGGAGGAAATGTGAGAAGTGGGAAGAGGTAGGAGGTGACATAAGGGAAGGGTATTGAAAAGCACTTAAGTGTTTTATGATCACACGGAAACTGTGTAGTATCTTGTTGGATTTTCTTCTTAAATAGTCATAAATGCCACCATTAGCTGGAGGACTAGTGGGTGGTCATATCTGATGCTCCTCATTTCAATATGGTGCTTGGCAGAAGGAAAACCCATAGCTGACATTAATTACAGTTGCTGTTCTTTCCTTTTCATTCATGTTTGCTTGAACATGACCTACTGAATTTGTAATCTAAGCAGCTCGGATGATATGACATACCTGAGAGGCTTTTAGGATTTGTAGCATTTATTTTCTTAATATCTGTAACAACTAGAGTAGGAGCAGATTCTAGATAGGATTAACTGCCAAGGAGCCTGGAATTTGGACATGTGCTTTTGATAGGATTTTTAAGTTTTGGCATAAAGAGTTGCTTGGAGAGATCTTTTAGCAATGGCAGTAGTCTGATCACTCAGAAACAGCCTGTGCTTTAACAAACAGGAGCCTGCCAGCATTTGAAGTTAGTGGCTGATAGATTAGGTGAGACTGAGGAGAGAATAGAGAGATGGTGTTATAGTACCCAGAAACTGTGTGGTAGTGTCAGAGAGGTGTTTAACATGAGTGTTTCAGTGTGATGTATCTGCCATAGTTTTCTGTTTAAGAGAGAAAAAAAAATCAGAAAACTTTCCAACTACTAACCTCCCTCTTATGTGGTTTTTAACTTGTACCAATTTTCAACTCTGGCAACACATCAGAATTGCTAGAAGAATTTTTAAAAATTACTAATGCATGGGCTCCACTCCTAGCAACCCCAGTATAATTGAAGCCTGGGCACTCGTATTTTAAAAAGAGCTCCACAGATGAATCTAACTCAAAACCGGGCTGAGTACCACTGCTTTATAGCAGTGCATCAGAATTGTCTGGAGAGCTATTTATTAGGTCTGGGTGAGGCCTGAGAATTTATTTTCATTTCTAACAAGTTCCCAGGTGATGCTGATATTGCTGGTAAGGCGATCACATTTTGAGAACCACCAAGAAGGCAGTTTTAAAAAATCATTTGAGTGTGACTGATGTCTGATCTTTTTCTTTCTTTTTTTTTTTTAAACATTGCTAGTGCTGTAGTATTGAATTAAAATTATGCATATAGTTCTTTTTATGTAAAAAATATAGATGCATCTATATGGTGTGAATTTTTTTCAAATAGCATTTTTAAGTTTTTAAAAATATTTGAGAAAATAGACACATGTATATATGTATATATGTATATATATAAAATAACTGAATCACTTTAGTGTACACCTGAAACTACCAAAATATCCTTAATAAGCTCTTATCCAATGTAAAGTAAAAAGTTAAAAAACAGAATAAGAAAAGAATGAAATAATACCATTTGATCAATAATACATTGATCAACCTAGAGATTATTATGTAAGTGAAGCCAGAAAGACAAATATTGAAATCTAAAAAATAGTACAAATGAACTTATTTACAAAACAAAAATATTCTTACAGATGTAGAAAACAAACTATGGTTGCCAAACAGGAAAGGATAGGGGAGGGATAAATCAGGAGTATGGGATTAATAGATGCACATGACTATATATGTAATAGATAAACAATAGGATTTACTGTATAGCATGGGGAACTATGTTCAATATCTTATAATAACCTATAGTGGAAAAGAATAAAAAAGAATTTGTATATATGTACCTAGGTATAACTGAATCATCTTTTGTACACCTGAAACTAACACAATATTGTAAATCAGCTGTCAGTCCGTCAATCAGTTCAGTCGCTCAGTCATGTCTGACTCTTTGCGACCCCAGGAACTGCAGCACGCCAGGCCTCCCAGTCCATCACCAACTCCCGGAGTCCACCCAAACCCATGTCCATTGAGTCGGTGATGCCATCCATCTCATCCTCTGTCGTCCCCTTCTTTTCCTGCCCTCAATCTTTCCCAGCATCAGGGTCTTTTCCAATGAGTCAGCTTTTCACATCAGGTGGCCAAAGTATTGGCGTTTCAGCTATACTTCATTACAAAAAATAAGTAGCATTTTTAATTGAAAATTTTTTTCTTGGAGGAAAAAGCCACGTCACTAATAACTGAAAATTCTTTGTATAGTACTTAATAGTTTAAAGAGGTAATGAATTTACAATTTCCAGTAGACTTTTTGTACTACTTAGAATAATTTGTTTGTCTTTTTTCCTTTTCTTTTTTAAACCCCATTATTTGAGAATCCTTCACATTTCAGATCTTTTATATAGTCTTTTTGTTATCTTGATTGTTGGAGCCCAGATAAAAGGATTTGTCCTTGTTCAACAAAAATTTTCAGAATTTATAATTTGCAGAGTTTGTCATTTGAGATGGGAGAGATATTTCCTTCTTCCTTACCTAAAGTATACTGGGGGAACACAGAGCTATATATTGAGAAGAATGGGGGTAAATGGGAGCAGAGACAGAGCTGTTGTTTAATTGCTCATTTGTGTCGGACTCTTTGCGACCCCATGGACTGTAGCCTGCCAGGCTTCTCTGTCCATGGAATTTCCCAGGCAAGAATACTGGAGTGGGTTGCCATCCCCTTTACCAGGGGATCTTCCCCACCCAGGGATCAAGCCCATGTTTCCTGCTTTACAGGTGTATTCTTCACCACTGAGCCACCAGTGAAGCCCCGCAGAGACAGAGAGCTGGTGTTTATAGGTTGGGACAGTGTTAGAGGAGATGGAATCTTTCAGGTCTAGAAGGAGATTCATCAGCAGGAAGAGGAGATTTCCAAGAATGAGGGAATCAAGGGAGTGAATAATGAGAGAGCTACTGGATTGAGGAGCTTGGCCAAGTCATAGAGCTATTAGATAACAAAGACTGCTGTCAAATTTGGGTCTCTAAGACTCCGGGTCTTTTTTCTGGAAAACAGATAAAAGAAAAAATAGTTCTAATGAGCCAACTCTGCAACAAATGCAGCAGTTGAGGATTTTGTGACAATTATGAATCCTGAAAAAAAGCTTCTAGATGGCAGTGGCTTTTTCTCCTGCTATATTTGAATATTAAAAGTGTGTATACTGAAATGACAACTTCCAGTGTGACTTTGTGTGTTTTTCAGAAACCATCCTCAGCCTTTGATCACTGTTCTTGAGCACAGACCTGATTGCTGGCCAGTCATTTTGCAGCAGCTGACAGCTTTTTTCCAGCAATGCCTTGAAAGGTAATATAAAATAAAATAAATTAGGGAGATGGAATAGTAAATGCTAATTTTAGAGTTTTTCTTTTAAGCTGCTTTGATTGTAATGTTTTCTCCTGCAGAAATGTCTTAGAAAAGGATATAGTTTTCTGTTTTCTTTTTAAGAGAAAAAAAAATCCTACCAGTATTATTGATTGTTGAAATATTGACCATGAGAATAGCTACTGTTACAGAAGCTAAGCATTGGATAGTTGGGAAAGTTGATTGGAAATATTCAGTAAGCTACTACATAGTACATATGGATGACAGGTCTTCCTGCTGGAAATTGATTAGTGAGTTAATCTCTCCATTAGAAACCAGTGCCAGTTGGGATTAAGCAGTATTGCCAACTGGGACCAGATGACCACCATATGTACAGTTAGTTTAGCTTCACCAAGGCCTTCTGCCTTCTGATGGGCCTCAAAGCTTTCTCCCATTCTGTTACCATGGCATTAGCTCAGGTGGTCATCTCTTGCTGTGACTGTTGCCACCTGTTCTTAACTGGCATCTCTGCCTTCCATCTCATCCTGCTCAAGGCCATTCTCTAAGCCATCCATCAGGGCGACATATCAGGAGAGCAGATCTTTGTGTCACTCCCTAGCTTAAGTCACCATCACTGTGATTTTCAAACTGTACTTGCAATGTATAGGCTAAACATGGAAACACCCTCACACCCCTTCAGCCTTTTTTTTTTTTTTTTAAGTTTTGTTTTTGTTTTTTTGATGTGGACCATTTTTAAAGTCTTTATTGAATTTGTAACAATACTGCCTCTGATTTATGTCTTGGGATTTTGGCCATAAGGCATGTGGGTGGGATCTTAGCACTCTGATTAGAGATTGAACGCGTACCTCCTGCATTCGAAAGTGAGGTCTTAACCGCTGGACAGCCAAGGAAGTCCCAGCTCTGTTTTTATACACTGTTTTGTTTTTTTTTTTTTGTTTTAATAATGTGTTGATATCTCACAGCAGCTTTCTCTTGGAAAACAATAGTTTGGTCTCTGGAATAGTTGGAAAATCCCTGGGCTACAGGATGAGATCTGTTATGTCATATACTAGGCTCTGTGTATGATCTGTTTCACCAATTTTATTTTCTTTCTTTATCTCATGATTTGTGAATTACATATTCAGCAATACACTGACTTGTTTTGGTTCCACAAGGAAGAAGTGCTATTCTCTTGCCTCTTCTTTTGCTTATTAATTTCTACTTTACTGTCTTGAGTCTCATCACATCCCTTTTCTAACTAGTACCCTAGCCCTTTCTTGACTACTTTCTCTATTTAAATCTCTTTTTAGGTATTGTCTCTCCCAGGAACTGTTTACTTACCACAAGCTGATTTAATAACTTCAGTTGTGATTTCTGACATCATCATATTTACTACATTGTCTTACAACTGTTATCCTCCATTAACTGAAGCTTTCTTGAGGGCAGGAACTGTATCTCAGTATTCTTTATGTTAACACTGCCTGGCACAGTTTAGGTGCTTACAAATGTTCAGTGTATATATGTTTACACAGGAGGCTCACAGATTGGTGGGGCCCAGGCAGTGGTTTGTAAAGGGCCTCCTAAAATATATCTAACTTCTTACTTAGTAATCCTATACAAGCTCATGATAGGATAGTACCATTGACCATGTAGTCCAATGCCCGAGCTACATTTCCCACACTAGCTATATTTATGTGTTCTTGTTCTTGAAGGTCTTAGAATGTCCTATAGATACTATTTATTAGAATTCCATTTTGGAGTCTTTAACTTCCATTTTAGATAGAATTTCCAGGCAGGATATACTGTCAGAAGAAGCTTTAAAGAGATATAGGGTACCTTATAATCATCTGCCAGTAAGAAAAATCTGTGTAACAATTGAATAAATATCTTAAACATTATCATCTTCTCTTCTCTGACCCATGACTGCATTTTCAAAGGTAAGATATTAATATTTACTAAAAAAAGTCTGTGTTTATCCATGTCAGAAAGCAAAATTAACAAATTTATAAACAGTTGTTTAATGAAATTTCTCTTGTTAAATAGACTGGGACATTTTATAAAAAAATGTGCTGCTTATGTGCCAAATTTGTTATTGTTTCTTTTTAGGGTAATCCTTATAAATACCTCACTTGTCCCATGCTTTAGTTAGCAAATAATTAAATTACATTTTAGTTGTTTTCGTTTCAAAGGAGTATTATTTTGGAATTTGGAAGTAGTTCTTCTAATGATAATGTCCAGATGATCATAAGGAGAAAAGATTATTTATTGATTTTGATTTATTTACTGATAAGCTTTTATTGATCTAATCCTTTCATTTGAATTCCAAGGTGTTAGAGTATGCTATCTAGAGCTTTTTAGAAGTTCAAAATAATTTTATATTCCTTTGCAAAGAATTTCAGTTGTCTCATTTCTACTTTTGCACCATGAGACTATTTTTTGCAGGATGAAATTGATAATTCTGGTTGCATTTCAGCAGACGGTTAGTTTCCTGAGATTTAATTTTAGAGTGAGTTAGATTAGTAGTTTTTACATTTAGAAGATAATGAAGGAAATTTGGTAATTTAGTAAGAATATAAATGGTGATTCACAACTACAGGAAGGAGGCAAAATATTGTGATGATAGCTAGTATCCTAGACCTTTCTATCTTAGGAATTGTTGGTTAGAATAGCTGTGTGGTTTCATTTTTAATAGAATGTAGATGTCCTGAAATAGCAGTGTATCTTCATGCTAGATTTTTGGGGACTTGATTCTCTAGTTAAATTCTGCACTCCTTTGTAGAAGACCACTGATGTTAGGTCTTCATCTCTATAGAACTAAGAATTGGGTAAATTGATAATGATGTCATGGTGTTTTGGAGAAGGAAATGGCAACCCACTCCAGGATTCTTGCCTGGAGAATCCCATGGACAGAGGAGCCTGGCGAGCTATAGTCCATGGGGTTGCGAAGAGTCAGACATGACTGAGCAACTAACACACATGGTGTTTCGGCCTGGCTTTTTCAAGATTAACTAGGCTAACACATAGTTTTTCAGAAAGGGAACTAAGGAGAGCAACAATAAATGATTTGCTCAAGGTCACGTGGCTAGTCAGTTGGCAGAGTTGGGCCCTAAGCCTCAGTCTTTTGACTCTCATTCCAAGTCTTTTCCCACTATTTCTCCTTCCTTGTTGAACATACATGTGAAAGCCTCGTGTGTAAACATGCACAATGGGTTAAATTTTTAAACATTCTTAGTCACTTTGGGATTTCAGGTTATCTGTTTTATTTTCCTTTTCTCCTTAAGACCAGTTGATTTCATACTCTACAGCATTGATAGTATATCATCAGATAGTTCATAGGAAATGCAAAATCTAGAATCAGAATAGATTAAGCATAGAGATTTTAGATAGTATATTTCCTAGGAAAGCTCAACATTATACTTTTAGTGTCAAATAATAACACCTTGGAAATACTTTTCTTTGCATGAACCTTCCATTTCACCTTTAGCACCTCAAAGTAAGAGAAAACTGATAAGCTATTCATGGATGTTCTTAACACCTCAGTTCAATCTAGTTCAGTCGTGTCCACCTCTTTGCAACCCCATGGACTACAGCATACCAGGCCTCTGTCCATTACCAACTCCCGGAGTTCACTCAAACTCATATCCATTGAGTCGGTGATGCCATCCAACAATCTCATCCTCTGTCATCCCCTTCTCCTCACGCCTTCAATCTTTCCCTGCATCAGGGTCTTTTTCAATGAATCAGCTCTTCGCATCAGGTGGCTGGAGTATTGGAGTTTCAGCTTCAACATCAGTCCTTCCAATGAACACTCAGGACTGATCTCCTTTAGGATGGACTGGTTGGATCTCTTTGCAGTCCAAGGGACTCTCAAGAGTCTTCTCTAACACCACAGTTCAAAAGCATCAATTCTTTGGCACTCAGCTTTCTTTATAGTCCAACTCTCACATCCATACATGACTACTGGAAAAACCATAACCTTAAAGATGGACCTTTGTTGGCAAAGTAATGTCTCTGGTTTTTAATACGCTATCTAGGTTGGTCATAACTTTTCTTCCAAGGAGTAAGTGTCTTTTAATTTCATGGCTGCAGCCACCATCTGCAGTGATTTTGGAGCCTCCAAAAATAGTCTGTACTGTTTCCTCTGTTTCCCTATCTATTTGCCATGAAGTGATGGGGCCGGATGCCATGATCTTAGTTTTCTGAATGTTGAGCTTTAAGCCAACTTTTTCACTCTCCTCTTTCACTTTCATCAAGAGGCTCTTTAGTTCTTCTTCACTTTCTGCCATAAGGGTGGTGACATCTGCATATCTGAGATTATTGATATTTCTCTTGGCAATCTTGATTCCAGCTTGTGCTGCCTCCAGCCCAGTGTTTCTCATGATGTACTCTGCACATAGGTTAAATAAGCAGGGTAACAATATACAGCCTTGATGTACTCCTTTTCCTATTTGGAATCAGTCTGTTGTTCCATGTCCAGTTCTAACTGTTGCTTCCCACCTGGCTAGTATTTATTCTTTGGGGAGTACATTATTGGAGAGAGATGGGGGAATGATGTTTTTTAAGTCTCTTTTCTGTTCCATAGTCTAGTCCATATATACAGCATCTATTTGCATGATCTATGAAACTTTTTTTAGTTTCCTAAAGTAGGTATTGTGATAAAGATAATTATTAATGTTTCATTAATAATTATGAACTCACAAGTCCTTTTTTTTTATAGATTGTGTAAATATTGGTGCTGATGAGGGGAAAAAAAACCAGCTTCCTCCAGATTGTGAGCTCTGTCAGAGCAAGTGTTTAATTTTGTTCCTAGCACATAGAAGAGTGAAGATATCTGTAGGAGCTCAGTAAATTTGTCAAGCGAATAAATGAATGAATGAATAGGTTAAATCTTATCAGTTTGGTAACTTTTAAATTTTTGTTAGTGTTAATGGTGTTTTGAAATCACATTGCTGTGGAATGTATAGCATTATAAAATTAATGTCATCAGTCATGATTTAAATACCATTTCCTCCATTAAGTATTGCACCTATACCTTTCTTTCAGCACCTTTTTCACTTTGTATTCTCTAGTCCAGGAACAGAGCTGATGGTCTTTGTTAGACTACATGCTTCTTAAAGATAGATAATGCCTGTTTCATCTTTGTATCTTATCTAATAATAACTTATTTATAATAAATATGAAAAATATTAAAATAAAATCATGATGTTTAATCAATGAATGCTAATTATAAAACTACTCTATGACAGTGTAAATGAATCAATTAGTTTAAAGACTGAGCATCTCTGAGGGCCTAGTGTGTACGCTTATTGGTAATACAGCATTGAACAGAAACTCATGATTCATGCCCTTATTGACTGATGGTCTAGCAGGGGATGGAGATATAAATAAATAATGACAATAAAGTCATTATCCTGTGCAAGCACACAATGGGGACTTGACCAAGGCTGTGTTTCAGGGAAGGCCCTCAGGAAGTCATTTTAACAGGGAGAACTGAAAGATGCTAGAAATTAGGCAGAGGAGGGAACAGGAAAAGGGGAAAGGGGAGAGTATTACAGATAAATGTAACAGCAGGTGAGAAGAAAACCCAGATGACTTGACTGAGGATCAGAATGAAATTTAGTGTAGTTCAGCGAAGAGTGGAGAAGAAGAAGAAATGAAATTGGAAAGATAGAGGTCAAATTATGAAGGGTTTGTGAATACTCTATCTTAAGCATAAACTCTGTCAAGCTGATTAATGACATGATCAAATTTTTATGTCTGAAAGGTCATTCTGGCATTTTAGTGACTTTGGGCTTGGAGTTATAGGGATGTATTATAATCTAAATAGACATGAAAGATTGGTAAACTCTTCCTCCTTTGAGTGGGAAAAACTTAGGAGGACTTGGCAAGTTATTTCACTTCTGTCTGCCTAAGTTTTTGTGTCTGCATAATGGGATGGTAATATTTTTATTTCATAGGGTTGTGGTAAAGATTGATTGAATTTAAAGGCACCAAGTGTAGTAACATGCACACCTTAGGTGCTGACAAGTTGACAAGTAAACATTAACTGTTGATCATCTTCTTGGATGTCTGTATGAGTTTTGTTTTGTTTTGTGTTTTACTTAGGACCTTACCTGTCAAGCTTTTCCAAAACTTCACGCTTGTATTGTACTCTTGGAAAAATGGATCCTGATGTCTAAAATTCTCAAAAGGTTCTCAGATGATTCTGATGTTCACCAAAGACTGGTCCTGGAGATGTAGATGCTATTTTAGTGTGCAAGTAGACCCTCTTAGTCCTGGGCATCAGGCTTATGGGCTCCAGGTATTAAGTCATTCTCCCCAGTGTAGAAACAACTGTTTGGCATGAGTTTAGGTGGGTCATGGTAGAATAGAAGAGTCGTGATAAAAAAGGTACACTCAGTGGTATCATAGTTTATGACATATCATGAACCCTAAGTTGATGCTTGACACTTACCTGATTGGTACTCTGTGTAATTCAGTGATGGCTTCTACATTACATGACTTACTTGCAGGTCTGAAGTTTCATGTATCCAAATTATGGCACCATTTCTATGGTATCTATATTGTGAACCATCGCAGTTACAAGAATATGCTAAACTCCGATTAACTCTGCTCAAAGTCTTACTCAAACCCCGGGTCCCTTGTGACAAAGATCAACCATCAGTACTGGAACAACAGATACTTCAGCTGTGTTGTGACATGGTTCCATGTTTGCAGGTAAGGCCTTTCCTCCTCTTTCATTAACATGGCACCCGGATTAATAAGTATTGATTGTTATTGTTGTACATAAAATAGAACCTGTGTGATGTGGCAAACAGCTCTAGAAACACGTTCTGGGTTTTGGAGATGATAATGGAAACAAATCTAGATTTCACTCTGATATATACAATGTTAATTAAATTCACAGAAATGTAAATCAACAGAATCCATTTTAGGATTAGTAGGAATGAAAACTTTAAGAAGGACTCCTCAGGGAAAATAATTTTGAACTGGGTTTCCCCTTGTGCTGGACAGTGAGAGGGTTATAAGTTAACAACAAAAAAAAAAGTCCTCTTTGTGTAAGCTGGAAAAAGACATCTCTGGGTACATACAGCCCTGGGGGCTTGACTATCTGAGTGCTGGCTAGATTCCAGTTTTCAAAAGTTTCCTTATAGCGTTATGTGGTGACGTGTATGGATCCTATTCTTGGGAAGACCACAGTCTGGTAAGGGAGCTAAAACAGGTATATATATTCTTATAATTCAAAGTAGATGGACAGAGATGCATAACAGAGGTATGGATAGAATGCTTAGAGAGTTAAGAGGAAAAATAAATTTGAGCTAATATCTCTGTAACTACAGATTTTTAAAAAAAAATTTCAGTTGCCAGGTTGTTGTAATTTGAATATAATATTCATTTATCCCATCTCACCATCTAGTTTGTTGTTTGCCTACAATCTGAGTACCATGCTGCTTAGCCAATGGGAGGGAATTTGTGAATATTTTTCAAGGTGATCACTTGAGGTCACAGATGACTTGTTTCAAGTTTGTGTTATCAAGGAGTGACTAGAGTGAATCTTTTGTGACTCATAATCAGGCTTTCCTGTAATCAGGGCAGAGAAAAGTTAATTAAAGTGAATTCTCCTGTGGCTTTTTCAAAGCTTTTGCTTTGTGTGGCCAATAAAGCAGTGTATGTGCAGAACATATAGCACTGGGATACACTTGTTCCGTAGCATGCTTGTATTACCCTGTTCTGTACTCTTTGGTAGATGTTTGCCTTCACTGGCATCAACCTATATTAACAAGCCTAAATACCTCTAAAAGTGTGTTTTGTGAAGTATTTTTAGGAATCTGTGCATGCATGCTAAGTTGCTTCAGTCGTGTCTGACTCTTTGAGACCCCATGGAGCATAGCCTGCCAGGCTGCTCTGTCTATGGGGTTCTCCAGGCAAGAATACTGAAGTGGGTTGCTTTACCTTCCTCCAGAAGATTTTCCTGACTCGGGGATGGAACCTGTGTTTCTTAGGTTTCCTAAATTAACAGGCAGGTTCTTTACCACTAGTGCCACCTGGGAATCTGTGGCTTGTTAATATATTTAGTCACGGTAGGTGAGAAGAAAAATCCAGATCCATCATTTGGAACTAATGGGACTAGTGACATAAATACATTTAATTATTAACAAATCAGCTTTATTGGAATGAAGAACAGAGCTGGGAGGGATCTTAGTGGTAATGTAATTCATTTCCGCACTGATTATATGTATTTATTATGCTCTTTAAGAGACAACCATCCCATGACTAATTAAATATTTCAGTGATAGGAAGCATGCTATTTTGCAAGGCAACCCTTTTTTATATATATTTTTAGCAAATACTTCTAATTTTCCTAAGATTGCCTGTTAGTCTCTGTTCTTCTCAAAACAAAACAAAGTTTTTTAAACAGCTTATCTGCATTCTATCTTCTACATTTCTTCCTTCCTTTTCTTCCTTTTAATCCTTTAGTCCCTTCCTCATTTCTTTCTTTTCTTCATCAATTTCTTTACTTTTCTGCATGAAATGGTTTCGACTTTTCACTGTTCTTTGCAAGGAATTTCTGTAGTCTATTGGTGTTGAGAATGTATTATTATAAAGTGTTCTTTTTAGAGCTGAATATAGTTCTGTAGATGTGGTCTGATCCATACGGAGCATTTCAAAACAATAGTATAATTAAAAGTTTTTCCTTAGAAATAGCCATCACACTGTTGGTCCATAGGTCAATCCAAGGTCCTATTTCTTTTTTTTCTCACTTCACTTGTTCTTTCATTTTGTATTTATGGAATTGTCTTTTTACCTGCCTTAAACTTCACTACTGACTTTGGTCCCAGTCATTCTTTTTAGTTGTGACTTGTCGTCTCACATATTATTCATTGGGCATGGTCTATTTCAACATAAAGAGAAACCATTACTTACAGAGTAATCTTGTTAAGAATTTTGGTAATGCTAAAGATTAGAAAGCCTTTAATGTGAAGTTACTGAGACTGTCTTGAAAAAATTTTTTTATTACAGAAAATTTTATGTAGAAAAAATGCACTGAAGGTAGTATATTGTCAAATAAGCATGAGGCTTTATTTTGTTTTAAATCCCTTTCAATTCTTGGTGGCCTTTTGCCTTTGCAAATATACTCCTTTATATGTTTGCAAAGGAGTAAAATAATTTGGCTACTGAACTGTTCACATTTTTTCTTAATAACACTATTTTCTGCTGTCTCCTCCCCTTTTATCTTTTCATAGTTTTTTTTCTTTTTTATTTGTTAGAAATTAATTTTTCTGTTTATAACTTACAGTCTTTTGGGGTTATTATGGTGGTAACGACTGGGTGAAAGGTACAGCTGGTCAACTGTAGGCTTTCCTCTTGATGAATTTAACAGACACAAGGCTCCTGATTGAAGCAGATGGTTCATTGTTTGTAATCTCTGGGAAATGCCAGTGTGTCTGTGAGTAGGACCATATCCTTAGTACTAACTCCAGAATTTTGATCAGAACAGCTGGGTTTGAATTGAACTGGGATTTTCAAGAGCATTCAAGTCCTTCCTATCTAATACATTAGCCAGTTGAGAAGACACTCTACTATTTGAATGTGGTCTTTCACTGCATCTGCCATGTTTGGAAATGATGCTCTCAGTTAAGTTTTTCTGAACAAATTTCTTGCAGATGGAGGGCTTAGCAGTGCATTAGAATAACATGCTAACTCTTTTCTTGCAGGTAACTATGTTGGAATTGTAGAAAGGCAAGTTCATTTGAAGGATTCAAAACCAACTTTAATTTATTTACTTCAACATGTGGTACTGTCATGTAATTTGTCTTTTAAAATCTGCACTGAGAGTAGTTAGAAAAAAGAGAAGAATTTGTGCCAGCCAGCAGTAACAAAAACAGTAGCAAATTGTGTTTCAGTTAGTGACAATAGGAGAAGGCAGAGTTGTGTGGTTTAACTGTCTTTGAGTTACATAAATTTCTTCATCTCTTTTAAGTCTTTGTAGGTTTAGAGAAAAAATAATTTATTGGTAAGCTTCTTGTATAAGTTAAATTATCTTTTGGTTTGTGTATTATTTTAATATCATATAATGATTGTTTCTCAGATCAAAGATTTGATACAGACAACAGAAGTGATGCTGTTTATTGAAGAAGTATACTTAAACCTTTTGCGTTATCCTGTTTTCTGGAAAATTCAGCTTACCCAGCTGACCCTTCAGCTGCTGTCTGTCTGTGAAGTCAGCTTAAACATAACTGGGGAATGTTCATCTTTAATTCACCTTTTAGAGCACAGTGTTGAACTTCTGAAGGAGGTAAGGATAGTAAGAAGTTTTAATATCAGTTATCACTTACATTGGTCTTTTAGTAGCAAGGTGAGTATACTCTTTTACTTTATTGCATATCAAAGGTGTTTTTTATATAATACTATTAGCTTATACTTTTGTGACCCCATGGACTATAGTTTGCTGGGCTCCTCTGCCTATAGAATTCTCCAGGCAAGAAAACTTGAGTGGGTAGCAATTCCCTTCTCCAGGGGATCTTCCCGACCAGGGATTGAACTCGGGTCTCCCATATAGCAGGCAGATTCTTTATCATCTGAGCCACCAGGGAAGCCCAGTAATATAATACTGCTATTATCATTTGTTATAAAAATGAGTCATTACATACTATTTGGTGCATCAGTTAAGGGTCTACCACAGTGATAGTTTTTTCATTTACTTGTGTAGGACACAAATATTCAACACTTATATGCCACACCCTATGTAATGCTCAAAATACTCTAAGTGAGGCTTCAACAGTATGTGAACCAGCAAGTTCTAGATGTGCAGGTTGGATTCAGAAAAGGCAGAGGAACCAGACATCAAAATGCCAACGTTTGTTGGATCATAGAAAAAGCAAGAGAATTCCAGAAAGATATCTACTTTCGCTTCACTGACTACGCTAAAGCTTTTGACTGTGTGGATTACAACAAACTGTGGAAAATTCTTCAAGAAATGGGAATACCAGACCACCTGACCTGCCTCCTAAGAAACCTGTATGTAGGTCAAGAAGCAACTGTTAGAACTGTAACAATGGACTGGCTCCAAATTGGGAAAGGAGTACGTCAAGGCTGTATATTGTCACCCTGCTTATTTAGCTTATATGCAGAGTACATCATGAGAAATGCTGGGCTGGATGAAGCACAAGTTGAAATCAAGACTGCTGTGAAAAATATCAATAACCTCAGATATGCAGATGACACCACCCTTATGGCAGAAAGCGAAGAGGAACTGAAGAGCCTCTTGATAAAAGTGAAAGAGGAGAGTGAAAAAGCTGGCTTAAAACTCAACATTCACAAACGAAGATCATGGCATCCTGTTCCATCACTTCATGGGAAATAGTGGGGGAAGCAATGGAAAGAGTGAGAGACTTTATTTCTTGGGCTCCAGAATCACTGCAGATGGTGACTGCAGCCATGAAATTAAAAGATGCTTACTCCTTGGAAGGAAAGTTATAAGCAATCTAGACAGCATATTAAAAAGCAGAGAGGTTACTTTGCTGACAAAGTTCTGTCTAGTCAAAGCTATGGTTTTCCCAACAGTTATTTATGGATGTGAGAGTTGGACTATAAAGAAGGCTGAGTGCCAAAGAATTGATGCTTTTTTTGATGTTGGAGAAAACTCTTGAGTGTCCCTTGGACTGCAAGGAGATCAAACCAGTCACTCCTAGAGGAAATCAGTCCTGAATATTTATTGAAAGGACTGATGGTGAAGCTCCAATACTTTGGCCATGTGATGCAAAGAGCTGACTCGTTGGAAAAGACCCTGATGCACGGAAAGACTGAGGGCAGGAAGAGAAGGGGACGACAGAGGACGAGATGGTTGGATGGCATCACTGACTCATTGGACATAAATTTGAGCAAACTCCGGAGATAGTGAAGGACAGGGAAGACTGGCGTGCTACAGTTCATACGGTCGCAAAGACTCAGACACAACTGAATGACTGAAAAACAATGGAAGAATTCATTTGACCCTTGAACAACATGGGAATTAGGGGTGCCAACTCTCTGAGAGGTGGAAAATACACATATAACTTTACAGTTAACTCTCCATATCTAGAGTTCTGCATCTGTTGTTTCAACCATCTGCTGATTGTGTAGCTCTGTGTATGTGTCTGTTGACAAAAATCTATGTACAAGTGGACCTGTGCAGTTCAAACCCATGTGTATATCAAGAGTCATTTGTTCATAAATGAAAAGGCCATTCTGTGACCTCAAGTGACTTAGAAACATGCAAATAAATAGTACAGTAAGGTAAATGTTTTTGTGGGGGTGTATTTAAAGTCCATTGGGAGCATAATTTAAGGGAGGTAGGACCTGAATTCAGATTGGAGGAGTTTGCTAAGCAAACTTGGTACAAACCGTAGCTGGGAAGGCATTCCAGCTGCGGGAGCAGTGTGAGGAAGTCACAGGCATGGCCCATTCAGAAAAAAGTGTTGAGTGTTGCTCAGGATTAAAATGTAGGAGAGAAGGCTGAGCCTATCACAAAGGCTCTTCCCTCCCTCACAATGAGCTTATGTCTTATCTTTTAGGCAGTGGCATGCTATTGAAGAACTTTCAGCAAAGTGGTGCCCTCCTGCTTGTGTGTGTGTTGTAAGGTCATTCTAGTGGGAGAGTGGAAAAGGGTTTGGAGGAAGGGAACACGAATAGGGCAGAAAGTGAGGATGGATGTCTTAGACTGCTAGGGCTGCCATAAAAAATAATCACAGATTGGATACCTTAAGCGACAGAAGTTCATTTCTCGCAGTTCAGGAGACTAGGAAGTCCAAGCTGAGGGTGCTGGCCAATTTGACTCCTAATGTCTCTTTCTTGCTGGCTTGTAGAAGGCTGCTGTCTCACTATGTTCTCACACAGTGGAGAGAGGACAAGAATGAGGTCTCTATTGTTTCTTCTTACAAGACACTAATCCTTTTGTATTAAGGCCCCACCCTTATGACCTCATGGACTTCCCTGGCAGCTCAGACGGTAAAGTGTCTGCCTACAATGCGGAAGACCCAGGTTCAATCCCTGGATCGGGAAGATCTGGAGAAGGAAATGGCAACCCACTCCAGTATTCCTGCCTAGAAAATCCCATGGACAGAGGAGCCTGGTAGGCTACAGTCCATGGGGTCGCAAAGAGTCGAATATGACTGAGTGACTTCACTTTCTTTCTTTCTTATGTCCTCATTTAACTATTACTAGTTATTTCCTGACTCCAAATACAGTCAATTGGCAGTAAGGGCTCCATTGTATATATTTTGGAAGGGGATCCTCAGTCCATGGCGAGGGGCTAATTAGGGAAATAAAGACAGGAAAAGAGAAATATAGAACATGAAATCAGTAGGGCCTTGTAGTTGAGAACACGGTCAAGGAGAAATCCTTGGTGGAGTCTCAGCTTTCTATTTTGGGCAACTGGATGGTGGCAGTCACTTTAGAGATGGTAGCTGATGTTGGAGGGAAGATTATAAATTTAGTTTTAGATATGCTTGGTTTGAGGTATGTAGGTATCATAGATGGATATATGGTTTTAGAATTTAGGATGGAAGCTTAGGCTAAAGGTATAGATTTGTAAACATCAACTTTGGAGTGAGAGTTTTAACCATGGAGTGCATGACAGGGTTTGGGATGGAATTCTAGGGGCTGTGAATATTTGGAGTGTATTGATACAGAGGAGTCTGAAAAAGTACAGCTAGGAGGATTGTATCATAAGCAGAAGAGATAGGTGATCATCCTCCCTTTTGAGATACTCCTTCTTGTGTCATCTGTCTCAGACATGAAAATCAACAGAAGGAGTTTTTCTAGAAGGGGGTTGGTCAACAGTGTTCTGGGGAGAGGATTCAAAGTAAGGACTGGAAAGTATTCTTAGGCTTCAGCCTGTAGAGATGTATTTTTCACAGAAGAATCAGTTTCAGCAGAGTGATGGCAATAAGAACCAAATTGGAATAAAGGAGCGAATGGTAAGTGAGGAAACAGAACATGAGTGTAGATTTTGGTGGGAGGCAGGAGCCGGGGAAAACTCAAGTAAATCTTTTGTCAATTTGTCAATTTTGTGATTAGCATGATTTCACCAATGCTGGGTTTTATATGTGTGTGTGTTGTGTGTGTTAGATGCTCAGTCATGTCTGACTCTTTGCAACCCCATGGATTATAGCTTGCCAGGCTCCTCTGTCCATGAAATTCTCCAGGCAAGAATGCTGGAGTGGGTAGCCATTCTCTTCTTCAGGGGATCTTGCTGACCCAGGGGTTGAATCCGAGTCTTCTGCATTGCAGACAGATTCTTTGCTGTTTGAGCCGCCAGGGAAGCAGATGCTAGGTTTTATATATATATTATATGATGATATATTTGTGTTATATATTAATGGTAACTTTAAAAATTATAATATTATATATTTATTAGATAGAGTAATATATAGTAATAATATATAGTAACATTTAATATATGGTAATATATGTTGTTAAACATATTAAATGCTACTGTACATTATTACCATATCCCAAGTGGCACTACTGGTAAAGAATCCACCTGCCAATGCAGGAGGTATAAGAGGCATGGGTTTGATCCCTGGGTTGGGAAGATCTCCTGGAGTAAGAAATGGCACCCCACTCCAGTATTCTTGCCTGGAAAATTCCATGGGCAGAGGAGCTAGGTGGGCTATAACCTATGGGGTCGCAAAGAATTGGACACAACTGAGCACATACTTAGATGTTACAAATTATGTAGTTAATATAATAAAATAATCATATTTTTTCAGATGTTTATATCAATTTTATATAGTTATACCTATTAGATAATAGCTATAATAGATAATATATTGATATATATTATACTAATAAAATATATATAAAATATGAATAAATAGTGAAAGCGAAATCGTTCAGTCGTATCTGACTCTTTGTGACCCCTGGACTGTAGCCTACCAGGCTCCTCTGTCCATGGGATTTTCCAGGCAAGAATAATGGAGTGGGTTGCCATTTCCTTCTCCAGGAGATCTTCCCGATCGAGGGATTGAACCTGGGTCTTCCACATTGTGTAGGCAGACACTTTACCGTCTGAGCCACCAGGGAAGTCATGGATAAATAGTATTTGTAGATAAATAATATATAGAAAATACTAAAAAAAAAAAGAAAATACTATATGGATAATATTATATAGTTAAATTACTTGGAATTGCCTGTCTTAACCATATATGTAATGTACTTAACAGGTAAACCCATAATGTTCCTTTGTGTTTGTGTAGGTTCATGTGAGTAGGAGACAGTTTTTTTTGGCAAATATTTTGCTATGGCAGTTAGGTGAAAAAGACAAGATCTGTGAAGTTTATATTCCAATCAAATTGTTCAGACTAGAGTGCGTCAAAATCACTAGGCAGATTTTATTTAAACTGTAAATGCCTAGGTCCTACCCCTAGAGATATTGAATTAGTTGGGCTGGATGGATCCAAACATCTACCTTTTAAACTAGCACCCTTAAATAATTTTATTATTATTATATATAAATATTTTTGCGTATAAGGTTAACAACCTTGTAAGCATCAAAAATCAAGAAATAGAACTTTTCTGGCAACCCGAGTTTTCCAGGAGCCCAGTCCTAATCACAACCTCCTTTCTCCCCTGACTATCCTGACTTCTGTAGTGATACCTTCTTTACATTTGTTTATAGATTTATCACCTCCATGTGTGTCTGTACATTGTTTACCTATTTTAAAAAAAAAGAACAATCTGGCTTATGTGAGCTATAGAGTTTTGTAAATCTTGAAATCTGCTGATTGCAATCTCTTGGTGCACTTTGACATGTTTCTCTGTTCATAGGTTGTTAGCTATAGAGACCTGATCAGATTCAGATTTTTGTTTTATTTTTTTGTTTCCAAGACTACAGGGCATGGTGTGTTCTTTCATCAAGAAGCACATAATATGTGTTGCTCTTCTTTTTATGATGTTGGTAGTTGTTGATGCTCAGTGCCTAGTTCCATTAATTCATTAGGAATTAAAGAAGTGATGATCTAATTCTGTTCTTCATTTGTTAGCTGGAATACTTCTCTTAAAAGACGTAGTTGGTTCCACTTAGTATTTGGTTATCCAGTAGTAGAGTTTATACAGAAAAGTTAGAATACATGCTTGACTCTCTACTTACTAATTTCTGAAAGTATTCTGACCTTATAGATTTAAACATATTTTATGCATTTCAACTTCTTATAGATAATATCCTTATTAAAATTCAGATTGTCCTATTTTTGACTTGAGTTGAATTTTAAAAATATTTTTTATTTTAATGTAGAATGACAGAATACTTTCATTGAGAATGATGAAATGGTGTCTGTGGGAGAAGGCCTTATTTATGTTGTGTCTTCCATCTGCCCAATATTTTAAAAATTTTAGAAGGAATTAAAAATATGTAGAACTGTTAAAATACTTACGTTGTGAAATTTCCTGTCCCCCAGGAAATTTTGCTAAATGTTCAATTCAAATATTAGATTAACTTGTCTTTTCCTCTTTATTCCTTTTCTGTTCTTATATTGGATTTATTTCATTCAATACATCCACTGAAAATGGATGTATTTCTTAGGCTACATTAGTTTCAATGTATTTGGTCTTAGCTGAACTATTTTTAGCTTATTTGAATGATCATAACCTAAGGTGCTTTCCATTTCAAGCAAAATATATATATTCTTTTTTCTCTCTCTCTCTCTTTTTTTTTTTTGGCTATACCATGCGACTTGTGTGACCTTAGTTCCCTGACCAGTGATTGAACCCATGCCCCTGCATTGGAAGCACAGAACCCTAAGCATATGTACTCTTAACAGAAAACATTGTTTGTGGGGAGACTAGGTAGCTTTCAAAGTGGAGAGTGCTGTGCATTCCAGCTTTGGTAAGGCTGGAGACCTATGTTCTCTAACACATTACTATCAGATGACTCAGTCCCTGCTTCCTTTTTTCACTGTGTGTCTCAGTTTAAGTTCTCAGATTCCTAGGGAGAATGGTCTGATTGGCCCAGCTTGGATCAGTCAACTCTGAGCGGAGGGCAGGGAAGGTTGCAGAGCCGTGACACTGGGGGATTGTGTGAGCTGGGCTGTCATTGTTGTGTCTGCTACAGATACTTAGCTTTGCTGTAGCCTTTCTCATTCCTTGTTTTTCACTAAACAAACAAAACAACAATAAGAAAAAAAAAAAATCCAACAACAGCATAAAAACTTTTCCATGCTCTCTCGTTCACAGTAGCATCCCTGAGCCCAGCATATGTACTTCCTGCCTGGCACATAGGTGATGCCCAGTGCGATCTTTCATTTGATTGAGGCGAAAGGACTCCAGGTGTTTGTTGTCACCAAGACTCCAGTGATATCTGTGGTCCAATATAAAGGTTTCTTTACTTCTTTTCTCCAGTTAGTCTCTTGAATTAGCCTTGGTTCCCCCACAAGTAGACCCTGAATTTCCCTAAAGGCAAAAACAAAACCTGGGTTTCCACAAAGGCAAAGGCTTATCGTCAGGAGTCCGCCTATGGCTGTGATCTCAGGAAGCAAATGGGAGACAGACAGGAAGAGTGAAATACTAAGGGTGGGAGAGGCAGTACGAGTATCATCAAGTTGGCCACTACTCTAAGGAGCCAGTTGCTCATCTCATGGAATATGCTAAGAAGTGTTATGGAAGATGTTTCAGAAGCTTCCAGAAGGAGCCAGAATAAAGGCCGAAGCATTTTCCCCTGGACTTCTCTTAACAACTTGTCAAGTCATGGCCTATGGGGCTTTAACTTCCCTGTACTTCTGGATCTCTCAGTGGCCTGGAACAGGCAGTATGAGTCTATTGCTGTAGTGTTTGAAGGTGTTCATGAGATGTCCAACACAGGCTTTTATTGAAAGACCTTGTTAAATGGTACCGTTCTCAGGTGTTCATTAAATCAGTGGAAGTGAAGTGTTAGTCACTCAGTCATGTCTGAATCTTTGAGACCCCATGGACCCCACCAAGCTCCTCTGTCCATGGGATTCTCCAGGCAAGAATACTGGAATGGGTAGCCATTCCCTTCTTCAGGGGATCTTTCCAACTCAGAGACAGAACCTGGGTCCCCTGCATTGCAGGCAGATTCTTTTACCGTCACCAGGGAAGCCCTCTAATCACACAAAAAATTTGTGACCTCTCAGAATCATGAACAATTTTGTCATCTAGTCTCATCCTCTGCCATTACTTATCCTTATTTTGGGTGTCTTGATCTCCAGCTCTTTCTCTTCCACCGTCTGTTCTCAACAGGCCAGTCTCATGAGAAGCTACTTGGTGGCCTATTAATTTGTGCCAGAGTTGATGGTATCTCCAGGATTATAACTCTGGTTGTGTCAGACTAAGTTGATTTCTCTCTAGTGTTTCTTTAACACACAGCTCTGTCTCACATTTCGTTTTTTAATTTTTTGCCTATACTCATGATTCATGGGAAATTTCTGCTTGTAGAATTGTAGAATTCTACAGAATTTGTTACAGAATTGTAGACATTTCTGTAAATTTCAGAATGAAGTACTTTTAGCAGAGTGTGTTGGACCTTCTTTAGTTCCATAATACATTATTGTTTTCTTTATATAGAAACCTCAAATGACATCTTATGCCACTTGCATTTTCCTTATTAGAATTTAATACATGCCCTTTTTATCTTTTTTTAAAATTTCATTTATATACTTGGTGAAATTAATGACCTTAAATTTCTATGGTTATTGCTTTACTATATTTACATATACTTAATAAGTTACTGTAATTTAGAAATAAATCTCTGCTTCTCTGGTACTGATGTTTCTTTTATTATAATAACATGATTTATCAAAATTTGTTAACTGTAATTTATTATGTAAGTTGTATAGATGAACAATGTCTGTATTACCTAAGTAGACAATTCAGCTACTTTCCAGAAATGAAATATTCTTAAGTATTTCAGGTAGTTTTTATTGATTTGCAAAGATTGACTGCTTTGAAGACTGCAGGTTTTTCCTCTGAATTAGTATAGTTTATAACTTATTGCTCTTTGGCCAGATATGATAACATTTTGAATTTACGTGTGACTGCTGTGGCATTCAACAATTCTTCCTTAAATAGAGCAGGCTTACTGTAAGTAATTTTGTACAATAGGTTTATAATATTTCATGTTAAATATACTTTTCCTAGATACATATTATAAATCAATGGTTCTTGGAAACTTCTTCAGCTCTTTTCTTTTCTTTTTTTCCTTTAGGATTTTCCTGTTGAACCAGTCATAATTGGAATAGCTTTACTACTTCTACAGACTCCAGCAAGTCAACAGAAGCCAATCTTAAGTCTAGGTAAATAAAAATATGCTCACAAGAGTAACATAAATTAACATGAGTATTGACAGGTGTCACTTGAACTACATATTGTACTGTGCTGTAAAGTCCTATATATTTTGAATGTCCATTCTGGAATTTGTTTAGTCATTATCAAATAGAGCTTTCTTTTTCTTATCAAGGTGTTTTGTGCAAGACTTCATATACCATAATTTACCAAATATCTCAACTGTTTGTTAGGACATTATATTCTAAATTATATAGCAGTGACATTGGTAAATATTCTGAAGGGTGTGACAGCTCATTCACAGTTGTACAGCAAACAGAATCAATAGCATAAAGCCCTTGAAGCAGAATAGGTATTTAGCATTTGAATTTACTTTTAAAACTCTATACACCTTTACTATTCAAAACTGGTGCCACATTGAACAAGGCTTAATTTATGATTATTTTGTTAACCTACCTAGAACAAATGAAGATAACATTCTTTTGACTGTCCAGTATTGACTTAAAAAAAAGTAAGGAATGGGGCTAAAGGGAGGCAAAAAGAAAAGTTCTGTTTAAGAATAATGTGGGACAATGAGGTACCATCTCATGCCAGTCAGAACGGCTACTATCAAAAAGTCTACAAACAATAAATGCTGGAGAGGGTGCAGAGAAAAGGGAATCCTCTTACACTATTGGTGGGAATGCAAACTAGTACAGCCACAAATGGAGACCAGTATGGAGATTCCTTAAAAAACTGGAAATAGAACTGCCATACGACCTAGCAATCCCATTGCTGGGCATACACACTGAGGAAACCAGAATCGAAAGAGACACGTGCACCCCAATGTTCATCACAGTACTGTTTACGATAGCTCGGACATGGAAGTAATCTAGGTGTCCACTGGCAGACGGAATGGATAAGAAAGTTGTGGTACATATACACAATGGAATATTACTCAGCAGTTAAAAAGAATGCATTTGAATCAGTTCTAATGAGGTGGATGAAACTGAAGCCTATTGTACAGAGTGAAGTAAATCAGAAAGAAAAACACTAATACAGTATATTAACGCATATATATGGAATTTAGAAAGATGGTAGTGATGGCCCTATATGTGAGACAGCAAAAGAGACATAGATGTAAAGAACAGTCTTTTGGACTCTGTGGGAGAAGGTGAGGGTGGGATGATTTGAGAGAAAACCATTGTAACATGTATATTACCATATGTGAAATAGATCAACAGTCCAAGTTTGATGCATGAAACAGGGCACTCAAAGCCGGTGCATTCGGATGACCCTGAGGGCTGGGATGGGGAGGGAGGTGGGAGGGGGGATCAGGATGGGGAACACTTGTGCACCCATGGCAGATTCATGTAAATATATGGCAAAAACCACTACAATATTGTCAAGTAATTAGCCTCCAATTAAAATAAATAAGTTAATTAAAAAAAAAGAATAATGTGGGAATCAAGTTTGCAGATCAATAAACAAGTCATACCTTTAAATTGTGGCTTTTACATTAATATTGCCTTGCTTTACTTAGTCAATATAATACATGCAGTAATGTAGGATGGTGTCTAATTTGTGATGTATATGTTATGATGCCATGATTCATTGATTCATTCCCACTTTTCATTTTTAAAATGTGCTTGAGGTAAATACTGATTGTGTAACTCCTTCTGGGCATTTTAATCCATGATTTTAAGGATGAATTGCTCTTTCATTTGCAGTGTCTTAGAAATAGCTTTAGCACATGAAAGGGACCCTTGGCTCTCTTAAGAGCTTTGATTCCTACCCTACTTTTGCTTATTGGCCCTGTTCTCTTTGTACCTTCTTCCCTAGTCTCTTACTAAACTGTTTTTGCCTCCCCTCCTTAAAGAGTATCCATGGCATCCTCCTTTAGGTATAATCTTCCAATCTTGTTACTTATGACAATCATAGTTTTATTATTTTTAAAAAGCAGCTTTCTTGAGGCAAACTTACTTACCTTACAGCTCACCATTTTTATATGTCCAATAACATGCTTTTAAAAGTAAATTTATGGGACTTCCCTGGTGGTACATTGGAAAAGAATCCGCCCGCAAATGCAGGGGACATGGGTTTGATCCCTGGTCTGGGAAGATTCCATATGCCATGGAGAAAATAAGCCTTGCCCCACAAGTAATGACCCCGTGTGCTACAACCACTGAAGCCTGCAAGCTCTCGGGGCCTCAGCTAATGAGCCTGTGTGCTGCGATGATTGAAGCTCTCACGACTAGAGCCCGTGTTCCACAACAGGAGAAGCCATGGCAATGAGAACTCCATGTACTGCGTCTAGAGGGTAGCCCTCGCTCACCGTAACCAGAGACAAGCCCACACAGCAACGAAGAACCAGCACAGCCATAGATAAATAAATTTTTAAAAAGTAAATTTACAGGGTTTTGCCACCAGGTTGTGGAGTCTAGTTTTAGAACATTTTGCATCAATCCCTCTCCCCCAAATTTCTTGCACCCATTTACAGTTAATCCTCATTCCCACCCTCAGTCCCAGAAAAACACTAAAGTGAATTCTGTCTCTAAATTTGCCTCTTCTGGATATTTTGTATACATGGGTTTTGTTTTTGGACCAGAAAAAAATTTTTGATGCCCTAGAGAATCTGCATTCCTAATTCTGAGGCTCCAGTCCTTCATTATAGCTCATGTGATAGGATAATACAGGATCAAACACTCCAATACTTTTATTGGAGAAGAGCCAAGTTTTTCCTTTGTAAACCGATGTCTCTGATTTGAAGTTACCTTCAATAGAGTGAATAAACCATACTGAAAACTATTGAGCTAGTATATCATGTTGAAATGTAAACAAAAGCCTATTGTTTAGTATATTGGAAAAGAATGCTCAAAGCAATAAGATAACAGGGAGAATATTGATTATTTCAAGTTTTAAAAATACACAGCACTAATACAATGTTGGGGCTTCTTTAGTGGCTCAGTGGTAAAGAATCCACCTGCAATGCAGGAGACGCAGAAGATGCAGGTTCAATCCCTGGATCGGGAATATCCCCTGGAAGAGGGCATGGGAACCCACTCCAGTGTTATTGCATGGAGAATCCCTTGAACAGAGGAACCTGGCAGGCTACAGTCCGTGTGATTGCAGAGACACATGACTGAAGCGACTGAGCGTGCATAATACAATGTTATGCTTCTTAATTACTAACACTGGCTATGATTGTAAATAGCAATTTATAAAAACGCCTGCAAGATCCATAGTACAGAATATAGAAATATTTGTATTATATGAATTTCATATTTTGTTAAATATACTAGATTATTGTAATAACACAATTATGGATTAAGACTAATATTTAGGCAAAAAAAGTAAATTCGTAGTGTTGGAGTAACAAGTGTTTGTATTTCGTACCACATTCAGGTTTGACTTCCAGGTGATTTAAAATACAATACTAGCAATTCATTGACATGATTTAAAGTTCACTGTATTTTTTTTTTTTTGGTGTAGTGGGGAAGTTAAGTTGATTAATAATCTCACTCTGAAACTTACAAATAACCTCTTTCAGTAAATCAGCATTCATTCAGTAACTGAAAAAGTTTATTCTTTAATTCATCCTGTTCATAGTCTAGGGGAGACTACACATGTAAGTAAGTTATTGTACATGTGTGTTTCCATGTTAAAAAAAAGTCTTTCATAAAAGTGGGTTGTATTCCATGGGTTATGGACTTTGAGAATTTGCTGATTTGTTTCTTAGTAATTATTGCTGAAGGTTATCCCCTGTTTCACCTTTTTTACTTTTGCATCTCTTGATACAAGTCTCAGCTGGGTTTGAAAGAGAAGTGCACGTGTTGGTTTTGTTATCCATAGATCAGGAACTCTGGTCTCAGCTCAGTTTTTGAGGGTACAGGATCTGACAGGGTATAAGGGCAAAAGTTGAGTTGAATTTTAAAGAAATGCATATTGACCTAGAAGAAAAAAAGAGTTGATTTTACTTTTTGGCCTATGATATGAATTTTCTCTAAGAGCATCCTCAAGTAAAAACTAAAAAGTTCTGTACATTAACAGCCTATTTTTGCTGAGCTAATTTTTATGTTCTTTTTACTTCTTAAAGGATAAGGTTTATCATCTTAATTGTGTGTATGACCCAATTGTAAAGGGGCAAGAAAGCTTTTTGCGTATTTCTCTTAAACAAAAAAGCATTTTGTTTGACTGGAGTATTAATTTTGAAAACTGTGAATTGTTGTTTGGATGACCAGCTCTGAAGCTCCTTTCTTCTGCTGAGAGTCAGAAGATCCCAAAGTCCTCGTTGCTGCTAGTGATGCCAGTCCTGCAGATACTGTCTTCTACTGCCTTGGAAGACTGTATATCCATGGATGAAGAAGGTCCCTCTAGGCAGGAGTTGGCTCTAAACCTTTTAGAAATGGTACAGCAGGAGTGCTACAGAGACGAGCACCAAAAGGTAATAACTTCATCCTTGTTTCTCTTAACATAAAGTTTAATCAGTTATGTGGGATTTAAGTCACTGCCGGAAATCTCACTCCTGATGATATATGTGTTTGGGTTTAAATCCTGTCATTGAATTTTACCACTCTGTCAGGCACTGGTGTAGATGTTAGTGTATTCTTCTGGACTGTGGCGGGGAGGGTAGTCCTGCTGTGAAATAAGTGTTGGAAATCTGTGTAATCTTTTTTGCTTGTTGAGTTTCCAGTGTCCATTAGTGGTTAAAGGTCCTGAGGAATCCTGCAGGAAAGGAACTAGTTCTAGTTAACTAACCTAGTGCTTCTGCAACACATCTGAGCGTGGAGCCTTTTTTCCCCCTCTCTGTACTATTAAATAGTGCAGCAAAATTAGACCTGCAACAATCTGTGGTGGGGAATTGGAATTGCCTGGAAGTTCTGGAATCTGTAAGAACTAAGACTTGACTTTTGAATATGGCACCTTATGCCATATTCCCCAGCATATGGCTCTTGATGTCCCTTGTGTGTGTTCCTACTCCCTTCAGCCCGACTGTCACACTCCATTCCTGTCCATGCCTACAGGGCTTACCCCATTTGGCTTTGTCAGTCTCACGGGTCCTGTTAAAATAATGGAGAAATATGAGTAATATCTTGATAGTGGCTGAATTCTAGGCCTACATTCATCATATTTTTTCCTCTTTAGGTGCTTAGGTTTTACCTTTAGTAAAATGTGGTGCGTGCGTGCTAACTCACTTCAGTCGTGTCCAGCTCTGTACAACCGTAGCTTGCCAGGCTCCTCAGCCCATGGGATTCTCCAGGGAATAATACTGGAGTGGGTTGCCATGCCCTCTTCCAGAGGATCTTCCTGACTCAGGAATGAACCCCCCCATCTTTTACATCTATCTGCGTTGGCATGCAGGTTCTTTCCACTAGCATCACCTGCGAAGCCCTGTAAAATGTGATAATACTTCCCAACTATACAGGGTTAAAGACTGTAAAACTGGTGAAGCATCTTAAGTTTCCAGAGACCAAAGACATTACATAAATGCAAGCAAGTGCCTTAGTTGTTCTGTTTGCAAAAGTAGAATACCACTAATAACGTATTGTTAAATGTTCTAGCAGCAGAAACCGAGGCATTGTTGGGGATTCTTGGTTATGTTCCCTATTTGATCATGCAGCAGAAACTAGCCTGCAGGCATATTGAATATATGCGGCAGCCTCCTTGATTCTAATTGTTTGACTAAGCCATAAAACTTGAAATAGGTAATTGATTTGCATTAAAAGAAGAGAGTTCTTAACATCTGCTCTGATAGGATGACAAACTGTGACCCCAAATTTCTAATAGCCTTTTACCTCCCCTTTTAGTTTGCCCATGTAGAACACAAATTGGATTCTGAATGGGGGTGGGGACAGGGTACTATGTTCCTTTAAATCATGAGTGATATTTACTTAGGATCACCCTAAATCTCATGTGTAAGTACTCAGCTTACTATTTGCTCAGGTGTGTGTGAATCTTATTCACCAGCACTGCATGGTGGATTTTCTCTTGAGCAGCTGGTGAAGAGGGAGGAGGAAGGAATACTATTAGGGTGTAAATATCCTCCTGATGTTAGTGTGCTGCTGTATTGAGGCTTTCAGTGGATATATGATCTCCCTTTTGAAAAATTTAAGCCACAGTTTACTTGTTGGCTTTTCTCCTACACCTGTCCAGACCCTATATTCCAAACATACCTATAAATTAAACCTGCCCCAAACTCCCAGTTCTCTTCCTGAATCTTTGCTTTAGCACATAATGCTCTTTTGTCTCCTTTGCCTGAACTACTCGATTTTCAAGACCCAGCCAAGTGTTTTCAGCCTTCCTGAGTCAGAATTTATTACTCTCTCTCCTTTGCATCCAAACACTTTCAGCATTAGTAGATTGTGTTGTGTGTCTTAATTTAAGGGGCACATATTTGTACCTCCAGCTGTGGCGTGAGCTCACTGAGGGAAGGAATCTGGCCTTTTTCACACTTTGCCTTTATTTTTTAAGCACATTAATGTTTAAATTGCAACAATTGTTGAACTTTTGATGTTTTTTCCACCCTAGGTGTTTCTGCATTATCTTTTTCAGCTGATCAAAGATGGGAGAATTAAAAACACTTTAGCAGTGGTGAAACTGAATATTTTCCACATATTCAAAGAAATAGATAACACCCTAGCTTATTTATTTGTCTTTGCATCCTCCACACCTGACCTATTGTTTACTACGTAGTAGACAGTCAAGCAATTTCTGTTCAGTGAGGAATGTATGCCGCTGATACAAATAGAGATCATTTTATTACAGAAAGACTGTTTAGAATCACAGATTTTTATTGTTTATATTTTTATTATTTGCTTTTAAATTGGTGATTCTGACTTGAGTATTTGGCTTAGAACTAAAGCGTTTCTTCAGAGGTATAATTCTTCTGATAAATAAATCCAAGGGTAAATATTACTGTACCATACAGTTCTGTTTCCTGTCCATTTCTTTTTTTTTCTTTGTTTTTTGGCTATGCTGTGTGGCATGTGGAATCTTAGCTCCCTCACCAGGGATTGACCCACACCCTGAGCTGTGAAAGTAGAATCCTAACCACTGGATTGCCAGGGAATTCCCTGCCTGTTTCTGAAGTGTTGATAACAATGAAATAAAACACATTTTAACTTCTCTCAGTTTCTGAGAATTAAAAAGTAAAATATCAAAGCAGCCATTCATCTCTTTAAAAGATTAGCATAATCTAATAAACTTTTGTTTATTTGTGGTGTAAGAAAAACAGGATCCTTTGTATTAGACTATGACAGGTGATGTTTAAAACCTCCTATTTGTGTTCTCTTAGGTGAAAAAACATCAAATACTAGTCGCAACTCTAAAGTCCTTAAAATTTTGCTGCCCTTACCCCAGAAAATGGGCAGGGGGGTGGTAGGGAGAAGAAAGCACCGGGGTATGAGTCAGGGTCTAGTTAGGAGAGAGAAGCCACACTGATAATTTAAATAAAGAGAAACGTAGTACAGAAATTATTAACTAGTAGAAGGTGTTTAATTACTGAAAGCAGTAATGAGGCTCTAAGAAATATTGCCATAATAAATATCGAGAGCAGCTTCTACTTTTGAGACTGAGGCAGGGGACACCCAAAGAATGAACCAAATGGATCTCCCCACTCAAGGCTGAGATCACAGCTTGGTGGGAAGATTGTAGCTATGACCCGCTAGCTGGTGTGTGGGGTGCCACAGGCCAGAGCTGGCCCATAGGAAGCCATCTGCTGGAGTCTCTTGCATGCCCCTGGCAGCCAGGGGTGAGTGAAATAAAGCAAGAAAGAGACTTAAGAGTCAAATTCCTGCAGTTATATAGTAGGGCAAGATGCATCTTTGGAGAACTATTTTAGTCAACAGAAAGATTTAGAGAAAGTATGACTGAGGTAGGATCTGTCATACATTTATTAATTGGTATTTTTGGGTAAAGTACTTTGTTCAGACTTAAAGCACTGTGAGTTTTATTACCTTTCAATAAAGCAGTGCTAAGTAGGTTTCATTCACTGTCACTTTGAAGTAGTCTATAGTAAGCAGAAAGTATTTTGAGTATTTGTCTCTTAAAAAAATCAAAATTTATAATATATTGTTGTTGTCCTATTTATAGCTAAAGTTAAGATTTATTGAGCACGTGCTCTATTTAAGAAGTTATGTGGATCAACTCTTTTCTCACAATAACTTTGAAATAGTTTTGTTTTGCCATTTCCACATGTGTGGCCTTGGACTAATGCTTGAAGCTCTCTGAGCCCTGGCCAAATGGGCAACAAAGCCCTGCTTCATGAGTTATTTATTAAGCATGTCTTATGTTCAGGCTCCATTCTAAGTGCTTTGCCATGTATTAAGTCATTTGATTTTATCCCAAACTCTTTGAAGTAGGTATTATTATTGGTCTAATTTTATCCAAGAGTTAACTGAAATATAGAGAAGATAACTTGCCAAGGGTCATGCAGTGGGAGTCTGATTATTTTTTAAAATAAATTTATTGAGATAAAATTCACATACATGCATTTTACTCATTTAAAGTTAACAGCTCAGTGGTTTTTTGTATGTTTGCAGAGTTGTGTATATAGTACCACAGTCAATTTTAGAATACTTTTATTATTCCAAAAAAGAAACCTACCCCCAAATAATATTCCATTGTATGAAGCTACCTCATTTTATTTTTTCATTCATCTGTTGAACATTTGGGTTTTAATTTTTTTAAGAAAATTCTGGTTATTGTGAATAATGCTGTTGTGAATACTCCTGTACAAGTTTTTGTGTGGACATAGATTTTCATTTTTTCTTGGGTAGATAACCTAGGAGTAAAATTGCTAGATCAAATGGTAACCATGTACTTGATCATTTGAGGAGCCGTGAGACTTTTCCAAAGGGACTGTATCATTTTACATTCCCATTAGCAGTGTGTGAAGGTGCCAGTTTCTCTATATGCTTGCCAACACTTGTTACTGCCGGTCATTTTATTACAACCATACTAGTGGTTGTGAAGGGCTTCCTTGGTGGCTCAGATGGTGAAGAATCTTCCTGCAATGCAGGAGACCCAGGTTTGATCCCTGGGTCAGGAAGATCCCCTGGAGAAGGGAACGGCAACCCACTCTAGTATTCTTGCCTGGTGACTTCCATGGACAGAGCAGCCTAATGGGGTGATAAGCCTGACAGGGAGTCCGTGGGGTCGCAGAGAGTCAGACATGACTGAGCAACTAACACAGGCGTGGTTATGAAGTGCTATTTCATTGTGGTTTTGATTTGCATTTCCTTGGTGATAATCTTACAGTACTCATTTTGTAAGTGAAGAAATAGAAATTATGGAGGTTAATTAGCTTCCCCCTCATTACACAGGTAATAGATGTAGGATTGAGATTTAGGTTTTGTCTGTTTGACAAATAGAGTTTAGATTTGCCTATACTCTATTGCTGCCACTTTGATTTTATTAACAATAATTTATCATCTTTGTCCTGAACTTGGGAGTTAATAACAGTATTTCAGATATACAGGAACACAGTAGATCAATAGTAAAGTGAAGTCAACTGGTTTCTTAAAAGCTTTTGATTGGAAGTTAATAGGAATTAGATCTTGTGCTTCTATCATTGTCTTCTTAATAACATGGATATAGAGAATGGTGTTTTGTCTTTCGGTGGTAATTAACCTCTACCAAGCCTTTTAACTCTTGATTAGATTCTTCATAGATGTATAGAACAGAAGGACACTCTTAAGGCTTTATCTATTCCAGCCTTCTGTTTCTGGTCTGGTGAGTAATTAAATCCCTTGTTGCACAGACCGGTGCTACTTTTAAGTGTCTCTAGGTTTGTTCCACATTCCCTCTCCTGATCAAATCCTGGCCTCACTTTTGTTAAGCCTGTTTTAGTCCACATTATAGATAATTGTTATTCTTTTAAGTTAATGAAAATCCATACTGTTCACCTGCATTCACAATTTCTTTTTCAGTCCTCTTTAGACAAAGAAGTATGAGCAGATGTTGTTAGTATTTAGTGTACCTGAACCTTTTTATTAAAGTTTTTTTAAAAGCAAAGATTTGCAACTATTTTACATATGTAGAAGATGTTGTGCAACCATTTCATATTCACTTAAATGTTACTTTTCTATTGTTTCTTCTCTTTTTTATTGAGATATACTTCATTTAACATAAGCCAATCTTTTATCTTTAAACACCTACTTTCTCCTCTGAAACTCAGGGCCTACCTGCACCCCGCGGGGCCAGGATTTGGTGGCTGGTGCTGAGAGAAAACCCTTGGTGGCACCTTTGCCCTGGGATCGTGTCTGTGGCAGCGGTCACTCAGTGGGACAGAGAGACCATTCTGTGATCTCTTAGTCAACACTGTGCCTTTTTCCTGTGACTCTAACCTTAGATGAACAGACGAAAAACAGAGCCTAAACCTGGACTAATACTTTAAGCACAGTATGATTACTTTTTGGTTTTAATATGTTTACTCTGTAATATTACTGCTGTCTAGTCAATTTATGGTTCATGGTGATTTCCAATTATTTTCTTTTATAATCATATCCAGCAATTTTATTTTTCTCTCCTGAAGATGACAAAGATAATGTTTTCCTTTATTTTGCAACTTTAGGCACTGTGCTAGGTGCTTTGAACATACTATTTCTTTATCAACCTCAATAATTTTGGCAGGGAGATAGGCATTACTTCCATCTTATAGATGAGGAAAGTAAAACTCAGAGAAATTGTATAACAATTTTTAATAACTGTCTAATAACTGTCATGGCTGTGCTAAAGTCCTGGTCTTTTAAATCTGGAGTCCAATGCTGTTTGTCATTAGACTAAAGAACTTGACTCTAGTCTTTAATAAATTTCATTTTCTTGGGGAAAAAATTCTTAGTGAGACAGGACTATAATAAATAAAGTATTTTTAATACATTAAAATGGTTCAAGAATCATAAATGGTATTCAATGAGCAGTCCCTTTCTCACCTTTGATTCTGGTTATCCAATTTCCACACTCTCAAAATGAAGAAGATGAAGATTAGTAGTTATTAATTTCTTCTGTTTGTCTAAATACTTTTGTGTGTGTGTGCAAGTCCATGTGAGTCTCTAATAACAGGATAGTTATACTCTAGAGATTTCTGATTTGTCTTATCACACTCCAAATGTATGTGTGTGTTTGTACATATTTATGCAAATACAAATATATAGTCCCTATGTTTCCCTTTAAAATAATTTCAGCATTTCAGGCACACTGTATGTATCTTTTATTTTCCTGTGTGAGATCTTTCCATAGCAGAAAAGATAAAGCTTCCTCATATGCTTTTATAGTGGCATTTATTTTCAAATAAAAGTTATCTTCATTCTTAAGCATATACTTGAAATAACTGAACATCTATGTCCTCACAAAAACTTTTACAGTAATATTCATAGCAACATTATTTGTCATAGCCAAAAAGTGGAAAAAAAACCCCAATGTCCATTAATTGATGAATGGATAAACAAAATATATATCCATATAGTGGGATATTATTTGATAATGAAAAGAAATGAAAAAAAAAAAAAAAGAAAAGAAAAGAAACGAAGCACTGATAGATACCAGTCAGCCACAACATGGATGAACCTTGAAAAAGTTTTATTTTATGTGAAATAAAAGAAGCTAGTTACTAAAGACCACATATTGTGTGGTTCCTATTATATAAAGTAACCAAAATAAAAGATTAATGGTTGCCAGGGCTTGGGGATAAGAGGGAATAAAGAAGGACTTTTAGTGGACACTGGAGAAGGAAATGGCAACTCACTCCAGTGTTCTTGACTGGAGAATCCCATGGCCAGAGGAGCCTGGTGGCTACAGTCCATGGGGTCACAGAGAGTCAGACCCGACTGAGTGACTAACACTTTAATGGGCATGGAGTTTCCTTTTGGGGTGAAGAAAAATGTTCTAAAATTAGCTGGTGATGATGGTTATACAACTTTATGAATTACTAAAATCCTCTGAGTTATTAACTTTAAAAGCCTGGATTTAATAATATGTGAAATATATCTCAATAAAGCTATTATTAAAAAGTTTTATAAGGCTTAACTTTTACTTCTCATCCTTTCAGTTGTTACCCTTATCCATGTGAGTCTCTATTAACAGGACTGTGATACTCTAGAGATTTCTAATTTGTCTCATCACACTCTAAATGAATTAATTTTTGAGCAGGCAATATCTAATTCCTCTTTAATGTCTGTGGCTTCTTCTGGACTGTTTGGGCACACCACTCACACTGGCAGAATTCTATCCAGTCTCTGACCCTGACTGTACCACTTGACTTCCATGAGGAGCCATTGGTCAGATTGACTTAAGTATAATGTCTTCTTTGGGTATCATTTCAATTTAGAGCTGTCAGGCTGCTCCTTCTTGCAGGAGTTATCCACAAACTATTAATGAATTTCCAGACTCCAGCTGAACCAACTCTGTTCCTATCAACATACTATTACAAAAATGAACTGTCCTCAGTCCAAATCTGCCATCTGCCCCGAGTTGCCTCTTACTGGGGCTTGGGGCTGGGCAAATACAGTGTTGTTGTTTTTTCTATCTTCGTTCTAACCGGTAAATATCTCTTACCTAGTAACGGCTTTTTCCAAATTCTGTTGCCTCTGGATTTTGTGTATTGACCCCCCCCCCTTTTTTCCCTCTACCTCACTCAGTCACTCAGTTGTGTCCAAGTCTTTGCAGCCCCATGGACTGTAGCCCACCAGGCTCTTCTGCCCATGGAATTTTCCAGGCAAGAACACTGGAATGGGTTGTCATTTCGTACTCCAGGGGGTCTTCCCAACCCAGGAATTGAACCTGTGTCTGTTGCATTTCCTGCATTGGCAGGCATGTTCTTTACCACTAGCGCCACCTGGGAAGCCCCAACAGGGAGTGAATGGTAAACATGAGGAAAAATTTTAATAAAACTGTTCTAGGGTTTCCATCTGGCAACTCTTTTCTTTTTGTGTAATCCTATTAGCTCAGATATGTGCAGAGAGGTTTGGGGCAGGAATTGAAAATTTTGTATGCATTTTGTTGGAAGGATTGATTTCTTCTATTTCTTGAAATATAAAGAATAAATGAATGTCAGAAATGTATTTCTGACAGTTTATCTCATTTATTCATACTTTTTTTGTGTTTATTTTTCAGCTCTCCTACAAGCTTGCGTTCCCCATAACCAGCATGTATGGTTCAGTATTCACAGCCTGGAGGATCCTTGAAGTGATGAGAGAAGAGTCTGCGGCAAGTAACTGGCTGGCTTCTGTGGAGTCGCTGCTCCCTATAACCACAGTGATCCCTGCTCATGTCTTTCTTCTGCTGGCTTACCTCCTTGTTGAAGATAAGGGGCGAAATCTTCACCAGATACTGAAGGTCACTACAGAATTAGCCCAAGCTGATTCCTCTCAGGTAAAGCAAGAAAATAATGGAACAGTAATGAAGGAAAAGCTTGCCATTGGAATCCAAGATTATTCTTTCTTTGTGGATAATTTTTACCAGTTTTAAAGTACAGGCTTCTTTTTTCTTTGCTATCTTTATTTTTCCAATTTTTTCCCCTCCTTCCTCTGAGTTGATGTATATTTAATGATGCAAATATTTTCTTTAATGAAAGCACTTTGAGTGAGAATCTACATAGGATGCTAATCTGCTGTTTTTGTTATGGATGGATTTGCTAATTTTTTAACATTTTCCTTAACTCTTGCACCCTATTCCAAGATGCATGGCCCTTGGTTCTAATATCAATCTTTTAAGGTGGAAAAATTAATTAATTCAGAATAAATGTGCCTATCTAATAGGCATTAATCTCTTTTAACTTCTTTGAATTTAATCCTATTTTTATTCAGTCATTTAATAAGCAAAAGAAAAAAAAATACTGGGTCCTTGCTATATATAGTACTGATCAACATGCTGGGATGTGTAGACAGAGTCATTTTTTCTATCTGTACAGTTCTTGGAGTATAATAAAGATGTCAGACATTATTAATAAAGTCCTTCCTCCCCCTTTAATGAACCATATATTTAGCATAGGCATCTGTAATTTTTTTCTGTTGGGTAGGGTGTCTAAAATGTATTTCCTGTGAAGGGAAGGATTTCATAACCAAGGAGGTATGGTGTTTTTATCATATTCTTTATCTCAGTGCCTGTACTTATGTTCCTTTTTAAGCATGGTATGGAAAAAGTCCATCTCTTTAAGGAAAGTTATATGTTCCTTTTGGAACACAATTTGATGGTAAAGGTGGGATAAGTGTGTTTCTTTAAGATGTGAAATTGGTGTATTGGGAATTCTTTTTTGTCCCCAACTTGTCGCGCTAATTCCCTTTTGTCAAGTAAATAACTGCTGATATGTAACAGAAGTTTCCCTCTGACTAGACCTTTTCTGGTCTGATTCTGCAAGTGGATCTATAATGTACTCAAAGTACCTTTGTCTTATGGTGTATGAGTAATGTGGGTCATTTCAGCCTGCTTCCTACTTTCTCTCTCCCTTCACCTTCTGTAACAATCCTGATTCTACTGGATGGTTTTTTTCACTGTTGACACCTTGTTGGGTAATCTCTTTAGAATAGTAAATGCACAAATAATGCCTGGAGATAATCTGAGGAAGTCATTCAGTAGGTTACCTGACCTATGTTTGCCACTGGTATAAAACATATGTTATATCAATATGTGTATTGATACTTAGGCAATACATTTAGTCTTTGAAATTCTAGTGTGATCCAGTATTCTTATAAACATTTTTCATGTGTGCCATGAAATGGGAACGGTTTGGAAGCACTGGAGTGACCATCCAGGTTCATTTATTTATTCAATAAATGTCCTTTAAGAAGCAGTGCTATTAATATAAATTAAATATGTAATGCTTCTGTTGATAATTTCTTAGAAGTTTTGAAAGAAATGAGAAAAACAGTGTAATTTTGCTTGTTAAGGTGAATGGTAAGGTAAAATGTTTAAATATAGTTACCCAAATTCATGCAGCAGCAAAGGTGATATAATTAATTAATAAGAACTTACAAGTGGAGTTAAAGTCTTTTGAAAAGGATAAAAGACTAGAAGTGGGAGATAGTGTTCTTTTCTTCACTTTTCATTATGAAGTAACCACATCATATCATTTCTCTGGCCTTTAAATAGAAGGAAAAGCAGCCAAAAGGATAAGAATGAGTATTTTGAAAAAGCATGGGTGTACCTAAGGCTGATTCTTGTTGATGTGTGACAGAAAACCACAAATACTGTAAAGCAATTATCTTTCAATTAAAAAAACAACCTCCCCCACACACAAAAAGAGAATGAAAAAGAAAAAGCAAGTTCTCTAATTGTGAATAACTGCTTCAAGTAGATTGAAATAGATGAGTCAGGGTCATGATCTCTTATTGGAGGAGTATTTTCTCTTTCATCAAGTCAACATGACTACATGACATGTATTCTTATTTCATGCGTGTTTGACTTTTCTTACTTTATAAAAAGATAGTGTTGTATTTTAGCAATCACTGGCTCAAATTCATGGGGGAGTAGATAAACACTAAAGAAAAGTCTTAGCCTACTAGTAAGCGGACGCTAAGTTAGTAGGTAGGTAAAATAGGAATTTAAAAGCTATCTTCTACCTCTATGTGGGCTTTCTTGGTGACTCAGATGGTAAAGAATCTGCCTGCAATGCAGGAGACCTGGATTTGATCTCTTGGTCAGTAGCTCCCCTAGAGAAAGGAAAATCTCTATGTAGAGTTTACTGGCATGCAGTATGCTTATCTAATATTGTGTTTGTGTTAACACCATAATTTATTGTAGGAATCCTACTGTAAAATCTTGTGAAAGAAATTCTTTGAAAAATTTGGAAGAGATATGCCAGGTTTGAAGTATGTTTGGAATAATGGTTATTATTTATTATAAGGGACTAATAGAAATTATTTTTGATAGTACTTAGTACTGTAAGTTATCAATATCAACTAATAATTTTAGAGTTAATAATGATGAGAAAATATACCTTTTTAAAAGTGTAATTTTTTAAACTTAGATTTATTAAGGAAAAATTTACATATATTAAATTCACTCTTTTTAAGATTACAGTTTAGTGAGTTCTGACAGTTATACACAATCACATAATCACCACCATAATCACCATAATCAAATAGAACATTTCTATTTGAATCAGTCCAAAAAGTTATTTGTTTTATACATGTATTCAATGATTTCAGCAGCGTTTGTTGAAAAGACTATCTTTTTTCCATTGAGTTACCTTGACATCTTTGTTGAAAATCAAGTGTTCATTTAATATCATATCTAGATCATCTCACTTTTGGTAATGTTAAGATTGATCAGTGCATTCACATTCTATAAGCCTGATTCTCATAGCTCCCTATTAATTAGTAGTCACCTAATGATTTTTATTTTTAAATTAATTTATTCATTTTAATTGGAGGATAATTACTTTACAATATTGTGATGGTTTTTACCATACATCAACATGAATCAGCCACAGATGCACATGTGTCCCCCCCCATCCTGAAACCCCTCCCACATCCTTCCCCACCCCATCTCTCTGGATTGTCTTAGAGCACGGGCTTTGAGTCCCCTGTTTCATGCGAAGAACTTGCACTGGTCATCTATAAAAGAGTGATTATTATTCTTATCATGCACATTGATGGATCCCCTTCCCCACTGAGTTTTCGTCCTCCATCCCTCCTCACCTGGTTCCCCTGTGGCATGCATTTTCCATTGGGTTTAATACATTTAGGGCCATGGTGGTCTAATGGAGCTAGATAGTCTGAAGGAAACTTGGCCTTTTGAGTACCATTTTAGTTAACTGGACACAGATGATGGTGTTAAAATAACTAGATAGTTACTCAAGGCCACAGCAATAAATCGACACTTGAAAAAAAAGAGTAAGACATGTTTTTCCCCCATATCTAGAAATGCTGTCAGCAGTTACTAATAATCCATATAGTTCTCTTACCCAGACATCATGACACTTAATTTGCAGAAGATATAAGCTCAGGCCAGGTGGTGCTCAGTAAAAATTAAGTGCCTTTTATATTCTTGGAGGGAATATCTAGAGTGTTCTGGGGAGAGATCCAAGAATAAGCATTCTGTGTGAATTCCCATGGTGGTCTTGAAAGTTTTAAACACATTGATTTAGTTTAGAGGAAGATTTTCATATCATAGTCTGTGCTTATAATATATGGGGATGCCATCTAATTCCTAAATTAGTGTTTTTTCTGGAAATTGCAGTTGATAGATTCATGTGCTTTTTGGTTATGTTTCTGTAACAGTTCCTGCCTTTCTGGTACTGTGAGTAATTTTGTTTCACCACAATTTGATGTAAATCATTCAGTCTGCCCTAAGAGATGCCTGAATGACAATCGAAGCATATGGCTTCATGGCTCATAAACAGTAATGTCCAGTTGGCCTTATTCTTTCTTCTTCAGAGCACTATTTCCTACCTCTGCGATTTGTCCAGATCTGGTTATATCTAGTTTGAAATCAATGGTGTGAATATAAACACAATCTCTAATCAAGAGATAATGTGGACCCTAGGCCTAATGGGGACATTTTATTAACTTTAATTTTATAGTACTTTTAAAAAATTTTATTGGAGTATAGTTGATTTACAATATTGTGTTTCAGTGTATAGCAAAATGAATCTGTTATATATATAGCCACTCTATTTTAGGTTTTTTCCCCTTATAGGCCATTAGGGAGTATTCAGTAGAGTTCCCTGTGCTATACAGTAGGTCCTTATTATTATTATTAGTTATTTACTCTATGTATAGTAATGTGTATAAGCCAATTCCAGTCTTCCAATTTGTCATCCTACTTCTACAGGCCCTGGTGGCTTAGATGGTAAAGAATCTGCCTGCAATGCAGGAGATCTGGGTTTGATCCCTGGGTTGGGAAGGTTCCCTGGAGGAGGGCATGGCAACCCACTCCAGTATTCTTGCCTGGAGAATCCCCATGGATTGAGGTGCCTGGTGGGCTACAGTCCATGGGGTCACAAGGAGTTGGACACAACTGAGCGACTAAGCACAGCACCCTTACCCCCAGTAAACATAAGTTTATTTTCTACATCTGTAACTCTATTTCTGTTTTGTAGATGAGTTCATTTGTATCCCTTTTTAAAAAAAATTTCACATATAAGCAGTATCTTGTGATAGTTTTGTTTCTCTTTCTGACTTGCTTCACTCAATATGACAATCTCTAGGTCCATACATGTTGCTGCAAATGAAGTATGTCATTCTTTTTTTTTGCAGCTGACTAATATTCCCTTGTATATATGCACCACAACTTCTTTATCCATTCCTCTGCTGATGGATGTTAACGTCACTCCTATGTCCTCTATATTGTAAATGGTGCGGCAGTGAACATTAGGGTGCATGTATCTTTTAAAAAATTTTTTATTTTATTTTTTTAACTACATTGACTAG